GGTTTCGGGCCCTCCCTGGAGCGCCCCAGGTGCGGGGGGGGGGGGCGCCTGCGCCTCGTCCTTGCACCGTGCTGCCTCCCTGCACGTGGCCCGGTCCACCTTCTGGGTCTCAGGGCAGACTCCAGGCTAAGCCAGTCGGCCGGGGCGCGGACTTTACCTGCCCGCTACCTCTCCAAGCCCGGCACGTTCAGGGCACAGGAAGTCAGGTCTGGACAGGACGGTCTTGGTTACTGGGGTTCCATGGGCATTGGCAGTTGGCCCTGGAGTGACTGCGAGCCAGCTGTGGGCACTGCACGAGGTCAGGGGGCTCAGGCTAGCATCCCTGCCCCGGCTCAGGGGGACCTTGGTCCTGGCTGAGGAGGTGCAGGTCCTGAGCTCATGCAGGTCAGGGGGTCAGCAGATGGAGGCCCAGGGCAAAGAGCCCCCGCTCAGGACACAAGTGCTGTGGGGACACGGCCACATCACCCACTTAGCCACCACCCACAGCTGCTTCTGCCTGGGCCGGGCTGCAGGGTTACAGAGACCACACGGCTGGACAATCTCACGGGACTGTCACGAACCTGCCCACTGGACGTCTATGGAGAGAAGTTCGGTGGCCTCAGAATAAAGGGTGGGAGACTTTACACTAGCAGGTGCACCCTAACTGGACACCACGTGGCACGTTTATGCCCCAGGCGTCCTCTGTTCCCTCTGGCATGACGGCCACCGGAGGGCTGTGCTCAGAGGGGCAGTGGTGACGGGCTGACAGCCAGGCCTGTCTGCCTCTCTCGCCCTGATGGCTGACGAGCTTGCGGGGAGGTCTCACCTTGGGCTTTCCTGGGCCCCCACAGGGATGGAGGAGACAGTGAGTAACGGGTGGGACCGAGAGGACGGGGTCTCGGGCAGGGGCATTGTGACCGCAGAGCTCGAGCACTCCGCCGTCTCGCACACGGCGCCCACCGCCCCAGCCGGCACGGTGACAGAACGAGACACGTACCTGGTGGAGAGGGCACCAGCTAGGAGACTGCCTTCCTCCCCGTCCGTGTCCCAGAGCCCTGGCGGGCAGGGTCTCCGCCGTCACTGCCACCTGGGGAGAGAAGGGAACATGTGTCACTCGTGGAGCCCTGCCCCCAGCAGGTCTACCGCCGCTCACATGGTGGCACCGGTGCGGCCACAGCCCGGCAGGCCTGGGCCCTTCCCGGTCCCCTGGGCGGCTGCCCGGTGCTCGCC